ATGGATTTATTTTGATTGTTGTTTTAGAGAAAACTGAGGGTCTACTTGTAAATTTCCTTGTATCCTCTTTTTAGCCTACTGTTTGTCAGACTTTTTTTTTAATTGAAGCATAATGGCTTATACATATTTGTGGGGTACAAAGTTGACTATCGATATTTGTGTACAATGTGTGATGGTCAAATCAGGGTAGTTAGCTTATTCATCATTACAATATGTAATCATTCTTTGTGTCCCTTAACCAATTTCTCGTTAATTTCTCATTAACTCCCTGCTTTTCCCCCTTCTCCTCCCCCTTTCCACGTCTAGTAACCACAGTTGCGTTCTCTCCTTCTAAAAGTTCAGTGTATTATTGTGATTGCTGTTTGTTTCTCTCTCTCTCTCTTTATTGTTTATTTGTTTATTTATTAACTCAGCTCCCACTTATGAGTGAGGACGTGGTATTTCTCTTTCTGTGCCTGGGTTCTTTCACTTAACGTAATTTTCTCCAGGCTCATCCATGTTGCTGCAAATGGCAGAATTTCATTCTTCTTAGGGCTGAGTAGTATTCCATTGCGTATATACACCACATTGTCCTTATTCAGTCATCTGTTGATGGACATTTATGTTGGTTCCATAGCCTGGCTATTGTAAATAGAGTTGCAATAAACATGGGAGTGCAGGTGTCCCTTCAACATGGTGATTTCCATTTATTTGGGTGTATACTCAGTAGTGGGATTGCTGGATCATATGGTAGTTCTATCTGAAGTTGTTTAAGAAACCTCCATGCTGTTCTCCATAATGTCCACAGTAATTTACAGTATCACCAACAGTGCAGAAGGGCTTCTCTTTCTCTACATCCATGCTGGCATTTGTTATTCTTTGTCTTTTTGATCATAGCTGGTCTTACTGGGGTGAGATTCTATCTCAGAGGGGTTTTGATTTGCATTTCTCTGATGATTAGTGATGTTGAGCATTTTTTCATATACCTGTTGGCCATTTGTTTCCTTTGGGAGATGTCTGTTCAGCTCCTTTGCCCATTTTTTAATCAGATTATTTGGTTTTTTTTACCAAGTTGAGTTTCTTGTATATTCTGGATATTAATCTCTTGTCAGATGTATAGTTTACAAACGTTTTCTCCCATTCTGTAGGTTGTCTTTTCACTCTGTTGATTGTTATCTTTGCTATGCAGAAGGTTTTTAGTTTGATATAATCCCATTTGTTTATTTTTTCTTTTGTTGTCTGTGCTTTTGGGGTCTTATTCATAAAGTCTTTGCCCAGCCCTACATCCTGGAGTGTTTCCACTATGCTTTCTTCAAGGAGTTTTAAAGTTTCAGGTATATATAAAAATAGTCATCATGGCATAGTCTTAAGTTCAGAAAAGATACGCAATATAGTTATTATTTCCATTTTGAAACAGAAATAAAGTTGATGTCACCTAGCATTGAATTCACTGATGATTCTTCCTCTTTCATATTTAATTGATACATGGCTAAATTTTGGAATATGTACATCTGTCTACATACATCATTCCCACTTTATGATCCTATATTTATTTATATTTATATTAAAAGGCATCTTTTAAATTTAATAACCCAGCTTTTAGTTTGTCATTTTCTCAAGTGTGTACTTCTCAATTTTTTTTGTTCTCTGTGATCCCATGACATCCCAGGTTCCCTGTTAGGACACAACCAGATGTTGTGACTCTCTGGTCTGTTATTGAGTACAAGTCTTGTACATTAATTGTGTGAGCAGTAAAGAAACTTAAAGGGTCATCCCAACCTTAGAGTGAACTTGACCTAAGAGATAGAGCCCTTTATCACCACAGTATGATCTCTTGGGTACTTACAGTTCTGGAGACATACCGATATCCAGGTTTGTCCCTGGGGCTGCTCAAAGGGAAACCCAAGAACCTAAACAGCAGCATTAGAGACAGAACCCTAGAGTGCAAGTTCCAGCTCTGCCACTAATCTCTGGGTCTGGAAGAGCAGCCTGTGAATTTTTTCTGCTTTTATTCCTGTGCACAGTCAGTGTGGCGATAATATCAAAGACAAATATTAAAAAATACTGGCTGCCCCTCAGATGAGAACTTGATATTCTTTTCAAAGAATGGGGAAGAACACTCAAGGAGTGTAGTTTCATGGCCCTTTCCCTCACAATACCCATTCGGGAGAAGTTACTTGAAACTAGCGTAGTTGCTGGGGGTCATTTTAGCTGGTCAGATCTGCCCTAACCTGACAGAGGGAAAGTTAAGTTAATATTCTTCAGTGTTTACACTGGTGCTTCATTTCAGTGATGTGATTTTTAATGTTTCACATTTCTTTATCTTTGTTTTTAGCCGATCCCAGAAAAAAATGCAGATGGTTTCAAATATCTCCTTTTTTGCCATGTTTGTTATGTACTTCTTGACTGCCATTTTTGGCTATTTGACATTCTATGGTAAGTAATTTCTGATGGTACATAAATATAAGTATTTTTAAATAAACTAGTAAAAATCAATATCTAAATAACGCTTAACACGGAAGCCAAAGAAAGCAACACGGCTGTCCATTGGTTTTGCTGGGTTTTCCTTCTACTTAAAGCAAATGGTGATGGATTCTTTATATGTTTATGAAGACTGCAAAATAGAATAAACAATATACGGTCTTGTTTTTCTTCTTCTAATAGCGTTCTTAAAAGAAATTGCATTTTAGAAGTGTTCTACCTTTACTGAGGAAAGTTTAAAAGTACATCAGAGAAGGCTTTCCTAATTGACACTGCAAATTGGGTCAGATTCCATTAATAGAAAAGAGAGACAGAGACAGATATTGAAAGTGAGAAACAGCAGAGTGCTGCACTCATGACATTGTGCATTAATTAAAAACAAAATTCCTAATTGTTCACCAGAAGTTGGAGACTTGCAAAGATTCGAAGGAATGACATGGAAAGTTAAAAGATATAAAACCAGAAAAAGCGAACAAGGTTTTATTTAACTTTTATTGACCCTGTATGAATAGTTCACCTGCTTTTGCTACTTCATCCTCTCCTGTTCAAATTATCCTGCAGATTTATTTAACATCTTTCATCATCATTACAATTTGGGACCTAATTTAAATACATATATTTCACAATTTTCTCTATTAAATAATCTTTCTTTGGGGCATTTTTTTTTTCACAAACACAAATGTCTCAAAATTTAAGCACATTTAAAGATTGTTAATTCAGCCCAGAGAGAAAGGCTACTCTGATTATACAATTGTATTATTATCATTCTCACAAGCAATAAAGAATAGCAATGGCTAATGAATCCATTAATACCACATTAGTTTTTGCATAAAAATGGTGTTTCTAAGCTTCCTGCAGTTTCAGGGCTGGGGTTGGATGAAAGGAGGGAGAGAGAGAGAACTTAATATTAATTGAACAAGCTATGATTTTTCTTTGTAAACATATTTTTTTTTTCCACATAGAATACCAAACCTTTTTATACTCTTAGGTTAAAGAAAAAGGCTCAGCTATTTTTAAGTGGTTATGAATTTTGAATCAAGGAAATTAGAGCTAGTGAGATTTTTCTTATCATTTATGGTCCTTCTCCAGAAACTGAGACCAAGCTCTATGGTACAGATTATAATTTGAATTCCACGACCAGAGCCTTGAGACTGGTGCAGTGAGAAGCCCTAAAAGGAGACTTAAGGGAGATGATTTCTCATCTGGACTGAGCCTTTTCATGTTCTCGGTGACTGCCATTTTACCATTGGTAGTCTTTGATAATACCACTTTCAGAAGTTTTGAGAAAAGGTTCAAAGTGGTACATAAACACTTTTTTTTTTTTTAATGAGAAAAGCATACCTGGAAGGAAAGAATTATTTCCTGATGGGGGTGAAGTTCGGTGAGCGCCTCTGCTGCGCGGCCACTGGAAGCTGAGTTATAAGAGGAGGCTTGAGAAGAAGTTCCACGCGGCCCGCAGTCCCCCAGCGAGACTGTGACAGTGTGGCGTGGCTTTCCCCCACGCGTCTAGATTTAGAGGGGCTTTGTGCCTCTCTTCAACCTTTTAATTCCAATGTATTCCTAGGTTTATTTTAGAATAAATGAGGCATTCCCACTCCATGTGACTTCTAGTGATTACTTTAAATTCCTTTTAGCTAAAGTGACATACGCACAGTGGAGCATGTCTCACATGGGATTTTTCTTTTCAACTTTGTAAATTGTTTTAATAGACACTTCAAAACATGGCTTTCCTTGCCCTTGTGTTTACAAATTCTTTGTTGTTCAGAAAAACTGTCATTCAGTGATGTACTCTGTCTCCTTTCAAAACCCTCTTACTTTTCCCTTGATTTAGAAAACGTGCAGTCAGACCTCCTTCACAAGTACCAGAGTAAAGATGACATTCTCATCCTGACAGTGCGGCTGGCTGTCGTTGTCGCTGTCATCCTCACAGTGCCAGTGTTATTTTTCACGGTGAGTAAAAGGCCTCAGTGCGATCTGAGAAAAGCTGAGGTCTCACCTTTCCTTCTGCCTCCAGAAGGAAAGCCGGTTTCTCTAGAGCCTGCTGCAGAGAAAGTCTGCCACAGGTGACTCTCCTGGGTCACTGAAACTGCATCAGGAAGGACCTGAGGACTGGGTTCAGGCTCTTTGGGATGCAAGTGGCTTCAGCGAGTTAGTGTAGCCTCTGATGGAATGAATCTTAATTCTAATTAATCTTTCCTTCTTCTTTGCAGAGAAATGTAGATAGAATGTTTGAATCTCAGTCATACATGCCAGGAGAAGGTAGAAAGACTGGAAGAGAACACTCAAGTCACAGATAAAACAAATACAGAAAGTACCCTACCCAGAAGAAAACTCCTACTATTTATTCATAAATAAAAACACTTTCCATCTTAGGTTAAGCCCCCTTGCTTCCCACACTGTTCAGCTATCTATAAACTCACTCTGCATTACAAAACATTTCACAGATTCCTGTGCACCAGTAAATCAGTTACTCTGCTTAGAAATGTGAAGGTTGGCATGCTACAGGCTCTTACAGAATCCTTGTTTTCTTTTCCTGCAGGTTCGTTCATCTTTATTTGAACTGGCTAAGAAAACAAAGTTTAATTTATGTCGTCATGTCTTGGTTACCTTCATCCTCTTGGTTATCATCAACTTGTTGGTGATCTTCATACCCTCCATGAAGGATATTTTCGGAGTCGTAGGTATGGCTTTATCGCTTTGCACTTGTCAACAATTCTGCAACAGCTATTTAAAGCTAAAATTTCACATTAACAGCCCTAAACTTTTTTTTTCTATTTTACAGGAGTTACATCTGCTAATATGCTTATTTTCATTCTTCCTTCGTCTCTTTATTTAAAAATCACAAACCAGGATGGAGATAAAGGAACTCAAAGAATTTGGGTATGTCTCTTGACAGGCACTCTAATTTTTCTGATTAGTTTTCCATTCAAATTGACCAAATAAATAGTCCATCTCTCTACCATCTAATACTACTTTCAGTTGCCTTGAAAGGAGGCAGGAGCTCTGTAGTTTTCCCATTTGGGAGATTTAAAATATCACATCAGAATCTTCTCCATTCCGGGGCCGGCCCGGTGGCGCACTGCTACAGTGCGC